GGACCGTGATTATTCAGTAATTCACAAGGCCGAAAAGTTTTTTATTTTAATTAATCTATATATCTATATATATATATAATAAGAATTACCATTTACTAAAAATAGTAGCAAAAAATTTAGGAAACATTTAATGCATGCCGTTTTTAGAAACTTTTAAATATATACATTAATTGCTTACATATACACGTTTTCAAATAAGATCAAATAAGATATGATCAAAAAATTAAATAAATTTATTAATATCTGCATTATTTTCATTGATTTCTATGATCCATGTTGATAATTTTCTCGTCAAGATAAATATTATTTTGTTAATATTTGTAATACTTTCATTGATATTCATTATAATAAATTACAAGATTGATTTCCATGATCCATGTTAATAATATTTTGGTCAAGATAAATATTACACTATATTTTAAGTTCTAACCATAATATAATTTTTTATTTTTTCACAAATATTCACTTTTTATACAAAAATATTTATGGAAAATCGTACAGGTTAGGTAGAATTGTTTTTCGAAGTAATCTGACAAAATCAAGTTGGTGAATTAATCTTTGACAATATATTTTTTTTCTTACACTTTATTTTGTTAAATATAAAAAATAAATTGTTCTTCAAATTAATATAATTTACCATTTAAGAGATAATGACCATATACATTAAATAGTTTTACTAATGGTAAAAAATTAAAATTGAAATATATTAAATATTTTTTAGAATTTATTTGTATATTATTGGCACCCATGGTTATTTTTTTCATTTTTTTATTTTGATTTATTTCTATAATTAAATTCTTATAAAATAAATTTTAATTCCAGAATACGCTAAATAAACTATAAACCCTTATAATGCGAATTAGAAAAATCTTGATCATAGAAGAGATTGAGTTTTTGGAATTTTTTAAATCAAATTTGTTTAATTAGTATAAAAAATTAAATTTTAAAAAAACATGTGTATATTTTGTAAAATATTTATACACTATTTAATTTTAAATTTATTTATATATTTTAAATTGATTACATAAATAAATAATACTAATGTGCATTAAATATTTTTCATTACATAAAATAAAAAGAAAATGAAGACGTACAACTTCCATAACATTATAAATAATAATGACATTATATGACAACAAAGTTTATAATAAAATAATAACTAAGTATTATATGGTGAACAAGAATAAGTAAAATTGTTATTCTCTCTTATATCAAAGAATAAATATATATATACTAAAATCAAATTTATATTAGTATAAATGTATTAGTGAGATAATATATTAATTATTTTACTACACTTAACGCTGATTAAGAGAGGTGGAAAATATATGATAACTATTGCTTTATATACTTAAACGGACAAAGACTGTAAAAATAACTCATTTAATATGGATGTCTCGTGCATCGCACGGGGTACGTACTAGTTTCTTAATAAAAAAAATAGAGATATTATATAGACTTTATTCCCACTAATAATAGATAGTTTGTATAAAGAATTGATGAAAGCTAAAGACTAAATCAACTTTAATTTAAAATCATAGTACATTTTTTTTTTCTTTTTACAACTATATATGATTAATAAGATCCCAACATATTTACATTAATTATTTCCAAACTTTGACTTTCCATTAAACACAATAAATGTTTTATATTATTTAGTACAGTACTTGTGTACTACATGGGTACTTAAACATATTAATATTTGTACGATAAAAATTAAAATAATTTATATTTTATTGTGAAATTATGTATGATGAATATGCAACAATAACAAATAACTAACAAAATGATAATTAATTCAAATGCCCATATTTACACTAAATTTGTCAAAAAAGGTATTTTCTAATTATATTTTTAAAATTATATATGTATAAAACTGATATTTTTGAATTCAAGTTTTATTGTATTGTGATTATATTTTATATTTATAGAGTTATTGTATGACGTCTATTAATTTTTCAAGTATTTAGAATTCACATAATTAAAATTTAGAATTTACGTAAAATGTATTATTTTATAACATTGTGAAATATAAAATTATTTTATACAATTTAATTATGATATTCTTTTACATTTATTTTTTTAAATAACATAATAACATTCAGTTTTTTATACAATCTATTTAAATTGAGAAATAATATGTTATAATCTTTTTATAATTTATTTTATGTAATACTTAATTTTTATTTTTTATTCAAAATTTATGGTAAAAAAAATTAAATGATTATT